CTACTAGGGGCTCCTGGCATCGCTACTAGGAGCAAGGACGCTACTAGGTGATCGGTTTTTTTGGGGGTTGCGGTGACTTGTCCCTTCTGCGAGCACGGACAGATGGTGAGCCTGACGTCGGTGCTTGCTGCGGAGCTGACGTGGTGTATTGGTCATGTGTGATTTGATGTAATGAACAAATATAATAGCTTCTTGCTCCCAATAGTAAGGCCAGGAGCCCCTAGTAGCGTCCTTGCTCCTAGTGGCGATGCCCTTTGCTCCTAGTAGCGTTCGTTTATAATGCGGGAACGATTAGGAAGGCTGAGGTTTAGTGTTAACGATGGCCTCCAACCTGCTAGAAGACTCGACCATGCGGGAATGGTCGAAACAAAACCAAGGAGCCAACAACTTGCGACCGTCACTCCCGCAAAGTGGCGAACATGTGCGGAAGACTTGTCAGACCAGGATGCCCATCTTTCTCACTGTGCTGGTCTGTAGCGCCCCATGGCGCAACGAAGGCCTTCCCTTTGAGATGCCTTAAATTCACCGTCAAAATGACAGCCGTGCCTTAGACAACGGCCAACCTCCTTGTCAAGGAAGCTTCTACAGGCTTGGATGAGAACAAAGGCATTTTGAGCCACTCCTCCAACCACAAATCTAGACAAATGCAGCTCTTATCGCGGCATCGAGTTCATGTTGCCATGCACACAGCCTCTTTCAACTGTGGATGGACTAGAGTAATGGCACCTGTGCCACCATCAGAGGCTTCGAAATGCCCATCCAATAACCAAGGCTCCAAGCGATGGTACCGCAATCGCACCACGATTGATCCCCATGGATATGTCTCTGTCCATTCCACATTGGGTCGCTGCACAAAGCCCTCCAACACACCTTCGAAAGAGGTCGAGCCGACCACTGTGCCGCCTTGAAACTCTAAATGCCGCTCTTCACATCTAGTCTTTTGCGTCTTACCTTTGCCTTCTTGAAGGGTCGCTGACCACAAGCCAGAAGGAAGGATATACTTGTCATCATCATTGGATTCCTTCGAACCCTGTCTGGATGACCGTTGTTTTGAGCCTGCCCTTGAGCCCGAAGGAGTCTGCAATGCCTTGGATCCTTGCCTGGATCCTGGCCTTGAAGGAGGCATCGATGGAGGCCTGTCTAGCCGTCCTCGGGGGATCTCACTGGCCGCACTACCTCTCCTCACTCGATCATCCTCGGCCGGTGATCTCGATGTCGGACTTCCCGGATCAGAATTTCTTCGATCGTCCGTTGCAAGATAGTTCTTCCGGTGATACTTCCTGGAAACATCCGTATGGGTGCGTGAGAAGATCTGCCTGTTTTCAGCTCTATTCTCCTCCTCTGAGGATCCTCACAGGGCTTAACGAGAACTTAAACAGCTGTTTGAAAAAAGACAAGTGTTTAAGCAAAAACGCCTAAAACCCATAACAGTTTTTGGATGTTTTTGGTTTCATTTCAAAGAGTTCCAACCTGAGGACAACGATCTGGAGCTGCGCTGTGAAACCCGAATCTTGGGTGGCTCCAGCGAAGCACCTGGTTTTGTCTTGGGGCATTTCTTTGCCCGGCCTCCAACCTAGAAGCCATGGCCTCCACCTAATAGATCCTAATAGCAATGGCCTCCACCTAATAGCGATGGCCTAATAGCACCTCAAGCATGTTGGCTCTTGTTAAAAGCAAGTCTTTACATCAGTTCGTGGGCATGTGGAATTCGGTGAAAGTCATATGTACGAAGGATCTTTTCCAAAAGAACAAACTTGCCGTTGGGGCGCCTGATTTCGCAGTAGGGATCATCAGCGAAGCCTTTTGGCGATCATGGTTCGGTCTGCTGCGAGAAGACCGATCATTGTTACAGTCACAACAGACTGCAATCTTCATTCCGATCTCCCAGCACCGCTTGCAGGCGTAAAACTCCTTGTCCTCTGAGCTTCCCAAGATAAAGCCATGGCAAAAAGCACAAGTGATCCTGTCTGGGACCATGGCAGCGCTACGTTTCCCAGTAGATGTCTTCAATGGAAACGCCTGTGCAATTGTGTAGACCCTTTGCATGTCAGAACTCTTGCAATCTGTATGCGCTTGTAATGCAGCTTTATCTTCCTCCAATTCTTGCTTTGTCTTCTTCTTTGGCGCCACGACGTCATCGTCCTTCTCCTTCTTCAGAAGCGAAGTATCCTTGCTAGAGACAAGTACAACCGGTTTCGAGACTAGTAGCGATAGCCTCCAACCTAATAGAGATGGCCTCCCACCTAGTAGCGATGGCCTCCAACCTAATGAACATCTCAACATACAATACATGGAGCAAGGTTCAACAGTGTGAGAAAACATGCCTTTGAGCGCCAAGCCGCATAGCTGGGTTTTGCATAAGCTTTCTTCCGAGCACTGCTGCCACTTCCCATGTTGCGAGCAGCCCGAGCGGCCCAACGACTTGCCGCAGAAGGTGGAGCTTGTGCATCCATGTTCTTCGATTTTTTTCGTGTTTGGTTAATGAGTTGACTAGAGCCGTGACATGATTTTCAGCATGGCAAAGCTGCTTTTTGGTCCAAATAGCAGTCAGATCAAAAAATGCAAGGCAGAAGCTTCCTGCTTGTCATTCTGCTTGAAGCTGCGATGGCCTCCAACCTACTAGCGTCCTAAACGTCCCAGCCTATGCCGGAAGGCATTCGATGCAGTATGTATGTACACAGGTCGTTCTCGGCCAAGATCTGCACAAATGTAGGCCCGATGACCTGAAATGCATGAAACATAGCAGGTCCATCTTGAGTCTTTTTCGGGAGCAGGCCACGGATAGGAAGAGGTTAGCTACGAGTAGTAGCTATTATATAAGTAGGACGCTACGGCTACTAACTAGCAACTGGACGTAGAATAGCTCACGCTCGCACTGTTCATTTGGTTCCTAGATGTTTAATAGGAACAATATTATTTATGATAAAGAAATCATTCTTGGCATCTCCCAACTCAGGCAGCCACCCAAATCTGGAGAAGCAATGGCAACTCGGTCTAGCAACCCTTCTGCGATGCACTCGCCTCATTGTTCAGGCCCAAATGCAGGTTTGGCCATTTGAATAAGCAAGTCCTACATTGTAACGAAAAAATTGTTTCTGAAATGTTTGGCGTTGAATCAGTTGCGAACCAGGAGCCCGGGTCTGCAACTAGTTGAACCAATTCTGGCCAAGCCACGTAGCAATTGCACCTGCCAATTGAACGTCAATACGAAGGGCCAATGGAAACTAAGAATCGGAAATGTCCAAAGTCAAGCTGGAAAGTTCATGCATGGGACATGATATCAATATGTTTTGCCTGTCGAGGTGTCGGTGGGCGCGGAAGCAACGGCAGTTGGAGCTCAAAACCTGCTGACCTTGCATATTCTTGTCCCATGTGGTTTTCCTCACGAATGTTGCATGCCATCATGGCAGTGAGGAAGCTGAGCGCCCTGCGACAGGCAGAGTCTGCGCCTTATGTAACCCACTCAAGGCAAGGCAAAGGAGGCCGACTGCGAAGATACATCCGAGCCACTGCAAGAGCTCTGCAAGCTGTTGCATCAAGCTATGAGCCTCCAGAAACGCTATCTGCCAAGACATTGTCTTCTCCCACATGTCCTACAACGATAGCATTGCCCAGCATTTTTCCTTGCCTCTGCCATCTGGCGAGGATTGATCTTATTTTTCTGGCAGAAGGCCTCCGCGGCCTTCACAACCCGAATAGATACAAAGTTCATCTCTTCCACATTAATTTTAACAAAGAAACGTGAGGACGTAAGGACTGAAAACTAAGGGAACGTAAGAGCGTAAGAGCGATGGCCTCTAACTTAAGAGCGATGGCCTCCAACCTACTAGATCTATTAGCGATAGCCTCCAATGACAAAAATAGATGCAAGACCCTTGATGCTCTGTGCCTCATCTCCGCCTCTTGCTGCCCACGCATAGCCGCCTAAGCATAGGAGCCGTGCTTGATGGCGACAGTCAACCGGATGGGGCTCCAGCCCATCAGCCACAAGAGTCCTTCGGCGTCATCTCTAAGTTGGCTCCTCGACTTCAACGACTTGGACGCTACTAGGGGCTCCTGGCCTTACTACTAGGAGCAAGGACGCT